GGGGGGGGGCAGCCACAGCTTCTCTGGGCAACCTGGGCCAGTGTTTCACCACCCTCATGGTCAAGAATTTCTTCCTAATATCTAATCCAAGTCTTGCAGCCTTAACGAACCTCGCCTCACACCTTCCCTTGCAGCAGCAGCATCGCAGAGGGCAATACGCACGCTGCCCATTGCCATGCCAGAAAGAAAAAAAATTCCTCCATTATTTCTTCATCTCTCACACTTGGAGTGCATCTTGGGTTGACATTTGAGTCATTTTAATAAGGGAACAGCACTGGAGAGTTTTGGAAACAGATCAAGGATTGGGGATAAACCACAAAGTGACCCATTCACAGGCAAGATGTATAACAAAGGGTTGGTCTATAGGCATTAGTGGCAAGAATCCAGCATGTAAAAATCCAATCAATTTATTTCCTCATTAAAAGCTTTCATGAAGAAAATGATTTAACACAAACATTCAGGCTACTGACACAGATTAATTAGAAAACAACAACAGAATTCTGATTAAGGGTATAATATTTATTTGACTTGTTTGCTTTGGACAAAAAAAAAACAAAACAAATTGTGCATAGACAGAAGAAACTTTCCTGGGAGAATGGGCTCAGTGACAAACAACAGCTGTATTTTGTTGGAAAGAGCCACACCACTCTGCCTTGTAGTAAGAAATGGCTGCAAATTTCTCTGGGCCTGTGGATGCTCTTGGCAGTGGTCCCCTGTTTTTACGACGAGCTCTTTCCTATCCGTTCTACGGCAGCTATCTCTTATCTCTCAAGCCCAGAGAAGTGACACCACCTCTCCAAGGTCAGCAGAACCGTCAGAGCAGCTCCATCCTTTTGTTTCCAACTAGCATTAACTTTTACTCAATATTTGTTTTGAGAATTCAAATGTTATTCAACATTCTTCAACATTTGATTTGAGCAACCTCTCCTCCTCGAGCTCAGCCTCTGCTCTGCGAGAGATACCTGCACTTCCCTGGCCCCCCGGGTTCAGCATCCCTCAGAGGTGAAATACTTTTGTCTCCTGAACCGATGACTCCAAGACAAGGACAGCAAAATCACTTCTGGTTTTGTGAACTTTTGTCTCTTGTGCTTGAGAGACTGTCCTAATCTCCCCTGAACATGTTTTAGTGATAACATTTACTGCACTAAGACCAAAATGATTTTCTGTCACTTCTAATTCCAGTTCAATAAAAGTATAAGAGCTTTGTTTCTAACCTCTGTCATTTTTAATACAGGAAAATGGTTTAAAAAAAATGTAAAATTGAGTTCCATTTCCTACTGGACCCAACAAGCCCATGTTAGCTTCACTCTGATCAAATTTATGGGGGGGAGGGAATACCAAAAAGATGGTTTGCTTTTCCTTTCTGTTTTTTAGCATAAGGAAACAGTCAAAAATTCTAATCTCGTCAGATCAGAACGTGTCTTTAATCTCATGCTTTGATCATTTTCACTCTGGAAAGGCTTAAGCAGAGAATGCAAGTTAGTTTAGAATTTAATCGGGAGCAGGGGGAACATGGTCATCTTCTTATGGAAGATGAAAGAGTGACGATCTAATTCCTTCCTCTGCCACTGACTGCATGAAAATCTTGAATAAATTACTTATCCTGAGAGCTTAAAAGGCACCCACATACGATGCCACAGTATATTCAGGGGAATCACTTACAGGATTCCTTTCCTTCCCCTGCCATTCGGTAAGCGTCAAAGAGAGGGGGAGGGGAAGGATGAATTTCAGCATCTGTGTTTCCCCCACCCCTTCCTGCAGGTAACTCCAGCCTTAGTTAATCAGTAAGTTATATTTTCGTAATTTTCAGGAGTGGCCAGAATAGTCTTTTTTTTGTGCCTGCATTACCCAAGAAATGCAATTATTTGGGCAAAACAGCCATTTTTGCTGCAGCAACCTAGGTAGCACATAAGGCTAGTTCAAATGCAGTTATAGACCTAAGCCATGGGCATGCTTATAGCTTCAGAATAAAGCACGTTTCTGCGCAGCAGAGCAGGAGGAACTCATCTAGCAGAAGCAGGTTAATCAGCTTGGACCATTCTCCAAAGTACAGAGCTAGAGGCCAATTCTGATTTTTGTTCCCAATTAAGACAGTACCGACAAGTGTGTTGCGCCTTTAACACGTCCTGTCTGCGGTAACATGCAGTTACACAACACTTTGTTCTTTCGCTTTGCAGGTGGCTTACCCTGAAAGCTGTAGTCCAATGATTTCTCACAGCAAATAATTTTAAAAAATTGTAATTGCTCCATACACATCCCCCCTTGAGCCAGACAGCATGAGCTAGAAACCAGAGCCCTAATCCTTACTCAACCACTTGGGGTTTTTTTTTGGGGGGGAGGTTATTTGCCTTGGGATCAGGTTTGACAGTTTCATCTTTAACAAACAATTTTTAGATCTCACAGACACCAAGACTAAAAGCTTCTCATTCATTGTCTTAACCAGAAAGCTTGGGAATACGCAATATATTTGGTCATGTCTTAACTGTTCCTTTTAAGCACTTGATTAAAAAAAGCTATCCACCAGCTGCGGGTGGAATCCCCCAAGAAGGGAACCCCTTTCAGGCAACGCACAGCAGAGTATTTCAGCCAAATAGGCAGGTCCAGTCTACATCGACCTTAAGAAATTGGAGGGAGATGGGGAAAACTCTTGTCAAATGATTAACTAGCTTCAGCCAAACAAGAGCACAAAGGAATCTATTGAGAATTTTGATGCAATATGTAAAGCAAGGAACTAACCCAAAAATATCTGATTTCCATTACAAAGCCACAGAGCGAGTGTTCCACTGCCAATACTTTAACAAAAGACATCCTCTAAGTATTTCACCCGCGCGGTTCGCGAGGAACCACCCACCTCGCACCTCATCGGTGCAGCCTTCGAGCCAGACAGGAAGAAGCCGCAGATTTGTTCTGTTGAAAACACAAACTGTTTCTCATGCTCGTATAGCCTTTGAGGTTACGCACTTAACAAGCAAACATCAGAGGGGCTCACTTTTCTGGAAATGTTTATGTTCTTTGCTCCTGAAAAACATACAGATCCCAGTTCTAATTCATCAGCCTCCTAGTAGCAGTGTCTCCAACTGGACCCAATCAAAACTGCAACTCAACTGTGTAAACAGACCTCAGAGGGCAAATTGTCACGAGAGAAAGAGTAGAAGAAAATGCTGTTCTCATGTTGGAAAGGGAGATTTGAGTCAGAGCAGGCAGGTTTGCCAGAATGCCTCCTTCCCAGTGCGAACCCACTGTCCTTAGCAGTCTTAAGCCAGAACTACCATTTCTTGGTGGCTGCATTGTAGGGACTGGAGCCTTCTGCTGCCTCCCACAGAGCCAGGACTTGGTCTTCAGAAGGGAAAGATGCTTCCAGGACACACCAGGACCTCAATCACAGATCTTATGCTTGTGCTGGTTTGTAACAGAATCAAGACTGGAAGCAACCCCAAGACCATCGGTTGAGCACTTGAGAGGTTTGAAAACAAGTTCTCCAAATCCTACCCTTCCTAACTGTGCTGTATGATGGATTCACCTTCAAAGTACAGTTTGGTTTTCATAGCTCTTTTACTCAACAGCAGTAACAACACCTGAGGACAGTGATGCTGCCAAGCCCGACCAAGCAGGACTCCATCCATCCCTTGCATAAACCAGGGAAACACAGAAATAGCCCTTCTTGTTCCGAAAGGAAGGGCAGATTAAGCCCTGGAATAGGCAAGGATGAAATTACACACACGGTCAGTATTATTCCTGCCACACTAGGTCTAGGTTTGCCCTTTGGTATGAGCACAGGACTCGTGTTTTCTTGGAGCACTGAGATAATTTGGTTTTGTTCGTACATTTCCAACCTTTACACAAGACTCACGCAGCAGATCTACCGCAGACCTCCAGTCCTCTGTTGCTTGGGAGGGGGTGAGGGGTGGTGTCACAAATCCCATCAGCGCACAGAAATCCAGTAAAATACACAATTAACACACCCAGTCCTCCCATCCACAACTTGAGTCTGCTGACCAGCGTCCGCTGCTTGCGGCAAGTCCCAGAGCTGCCGGAGTCAAACCAGATCCTTTTGGGGCTGGAAGCAGAAATTGCTGTCTGAAATCTTACGGTCTGTATTACGCAGGGGGTCAGACCTGATGGTTATAATGGTCTCTTTGCAGCTCTGAAGTCTATAAAAGTCTAAACCCCACTTTCCTCTCAGACTCAATTTCAGCAGGCACCA